GACATGGTATTTGTTGGTCTTGATTTGGTACTTGTTTGTCCCGACTTGGTACTTGTTGGTCTTGAGTCGGTATTTGTTTTCCTTGACTTGGTACTTTTTTTCCCCTGACTCTGTACTTGTTGGTTCTGACATGGTAGTTCTTGGTCTTGGCTTGGTTCTTGTTGGTCTTGACTATTTGTTGGCCTTGACTTGGAACTTGTTGGCCTTGTCTTAGGACTTGAATATGTACTTAATAGCAAAGGCTTAAAACTCTCTAGTGACTTGCAAAACAGTGACTTTTCCATCTGACTCAAAGTTCGTTTTTGATAAGAAAAAAACAGTTAAGACTGTTAAGATGATTTATATCACTTTTCTGCTTATATGCTGCTCATTTTTAGATGCGACATGCTGTTTGTTAGTTAATGCAAATGAGCATGCAAAAATGAGAAGAAAATTAATAACAATGTTTTTTTATAAAGCAAAGAACAGCCTTCAGTTCGGGCATGGACATGGATGAATTCATGAATGCTTGAGCAGGTCTCAGACATGTCTGTCATGTTTTTATTACTCTCAGCCAGACAACAGAGCAAATGAAAAAATTCCATTAATGTAAACATGTTCAGGCGTGTGAGATGCAACAGCTAAGCTGGTTTCCCCCCCAAACTCATCCCATCACCGGTAACCTCTGTCATTAGTTTGCAGTTTATCTCATTTCCAAATCTAATTGAAACTGTGTTAGAGAGAGAGAAAGAGAGAGAGAAATGTGAAAACAGCAACACATCCGCCTGACGAGAAGGAATTAAATTTACCCTGTAATTGATTTGTAATAGAAATGCCGGCAGCCGTGATGAAGCTGTATGTCAAGCACTCTGCCTCACCTCAGTGGTTCACCATGACCATCATCATCATCGGTCGTTAAGGTCCGGTCAAACGCTTCTCACTTTCCACTTTCTCTCAGAAATCATCTTCATTCATGAAGTTTCACAGGATGATGGATAATGTATGAGGTTTTAGCTAGTATTGGATTTAGAGCAAGCGACTGTCAAATAACTTTGTGCAAATGAAGCAGTCCTGTGAAACAGTTTCTGCATTTTATGAAAAGAAAATGCTGTTTCCTTCTCATCAGCGTCAGTATCTCCATCTTATCTACAAGAAATACTGCTGGTTAAGAGGACAGTGACTTTTTATATCAGGAAATCTAGGAGCCTTTTCCACATCCAGGCTGAAATATCTTGTATTGGATGGATTGCCATGAAAAGACATTTCACGTTTCCCTCAAGATGCCTTTTCTAACTTTGTAATATGCAATGGACAATGTGAAAATACCGCTTTTTGATGACACCTTTGACTAATAATGATATAGTTACATCAAAGTTGGTCCTTTCTTATTAAAGATCTCCTCCAGGTATGTATTTAAACATATACACATATACACAAATTATCTGCTTGGAACAAAAAAGTGTGTCTGATATATTTCTTTCTGCAAAAAAAGTCTAATAAAAATTAAAAAAGGCATGTACTTCTTCTAGCTTGAAATTATGAAAATACAAACACAAGATGTCTCCTACTTCACTGCAAAGGCCATTTTCAATGTATGTGAAATGGCGCTTCAAGTTTCAAATCAGACCAGGATTAACTTCCAAACTATTTTTCACAAATCAAATCTGATTTTTCAATGAGCACAGAGAAACTTTTCACTTTCCACCGGACAGATAAACAATAAGCTGAAACCCACTATACAATATCATTAGAATATCATGAAAAATTTAATTTTCCCCCATAATTTAAGACAAAAAGTTAAATGTTCATATATTCTAGATTCATTACACATAAAGTGAAATATGTTGCCTTTTTAATCTTGATGATTATTTTTTACAGCTCATGGAAATCAAAAATCAATATCTCAAAGTACTGGAATATTACAAGAAAGAATGTATAATACAGAAATGTCGACCTGAGAAGAGCCTTTAATCTCCCAGGCTGGTTCAGTACAACTACAAGACAGTGAATTTGACGGTTGTTATTTTCATTATATTCATGGAAAGTTGACAGGAAGGTTAAAGTGTGATTTAAAAAAAAGGTGCACAAGCAACAGGGATGAGCGTAGCCTTGACAGGATTGTCAAGCAAAGCTGATTTAAGAACTTGGAGCTTCACAAGGAGTGGACTGAGGGTGGCCAGGAAATGAGCTACCAGTGTCGCCTAGTGTCAAGATCTGGACCGTTGCTCAGAGGTCCAAAGCCCTCTTTTCAAATGAAAGTAAATTTTGCTTTTAATTTTGAAATCAAGGTTCCAGAGTCTGGAGGGCGAATAGAGAGGCACAGTGTCCAAGCTGCTTGAAGTCCAGTGTGACTGTCAGTGATGATTTGGGGTGTCATGTAATCTGCTGGTGTTGGTCCACTGTGTTTTATCAAGTCCAGAGTCAATGCAACCGTCAACCAGGAGATTTTAGAGAACGTCTTCCAGAGTCTTCAACCAAGTCCAGTTGCCCTTGACTTTAACCTTCATTGGATCACAGACGAGCAGTAAGTGTGATGATCAGAAGCAACAATACAGACGAGCTGAAGCCCGCTATCAAAGCAATCTGGGCTTCTAAACTCCTCAGCAGTGCCACAGGCTGATTGCCTCCACACCACACGACATTGATGCAGTAATATTAAGAATATATGAAACTTAGATTTTTTTACTTTTTCTAATTTCTTCTTCTAATTTTCTAAGATAATAATAATATATATAATAATAGTCTTTGTTTGTAGAGCACTTTTCAAAAACAAGTTACAAAGTGCTTTAACAAGTGTAAAGACAATAATACCCCAAAAACAATAATACAAAAACAATACAAGATAAAAGCAAGAAAACATTGAAAAGACTAAAATACACGTTTAAGATAAATATAAAATAAGTAAAATAGAATAAAATAAAAGGGATAAAATAAAGTCAAATAAAATCGGGAAAGGCTGTCCTATAAAAGTATGTTTTAAGAAGGGACTTAAAAGAGTTCACGGACTCAGTCGACCTGATTTCCTCGGGCAGGCTGTTCCAGAGCCTCGGGGCCCTGACAGCAAAGATGCACCTGATATTCCTTGTATATGGCAAAAAAGAGTTTAATGCTAATTAAACTCTTGTTAAAGCAAGAAAATTAACATCCACAAGGAAGAAGTCAAACAATGATGCGTAGTTGGCACTAGATGATTTAATCCATACTGAGAACAAATCAGATTAGATTAAAATTTAAACAGAAGATCATCACACATACTGCTCATCTGTGATCCAACGAAGGTTAAAGTCGAGGGCAACTGGACTTGGTTGAAGATACCGGAAGGCTGTTTCATCCCTTATCCAAAGGACTTATTCAGTTCTGACTGACTGGCAGGGAAACTCAGCTGCTCCTCTGTGAACACCACTGTTCTCCAGCACAGAGAAGCTTCTTTCACAGAGGTCCTGGAAAACCTCTCTGTGTCAGACTCAGACTGGGGGACAGCTTGTTGTAAATTCAAGTGCTGCATTCAGGCACCATTTGAATTTCCAGGATCAAACGTGTATTCTTTAAATATTGAGGAGACTCATCATCTGCAGGGAGCAGCGATCATCTGCAGCTCGACCGTACATCTCCTCTCTGCCTCGGCTGTTTGACATCCTCTTCTCCCCGCTCGCCGTTCGAGGCTCATTCATTACCACCGTACAGACATGTAATCAGTCTTTACTGCCGGAGCAAATGTCTCCCCTCGGACAGATCCCCCGCTGCCCGCCTGCTATTAAAATTAAATTGGATTTCATTTCTAAGCTCCTATTAATTCAGAGAAGTCTTGTCTGTTGATGGAGGGTCCAGTCCAGCAGTTAGTTTCCTCCTTCTCGCTTTCGCTTTCCTCTTTGCTTTTCAGGCCGGCGGCATGATCGCAGCGCGCCACTGCTCTAATAACGGTGATTACTCAGTGAACATTTTTGGAAAGACTTTACAGAGTTTTCAAATAAAGGATGACAATGTCTTCTACACTGTGTTATTTAATCACAGCTAATGAAAATGAGCCAAATGTATTTTTTTATGTTAATGGGTTAGTTATTGGAAAGTGTCTAATTTCACATTCCCATAATCCTCTGCCTAGTGGAAAGGACAAACTCTGAATCCTTTGAGTTAAAAAAAAAAGGAAACACAGAGGCAGAAGGAGCTCAGATAGAAATTAATAAAGTTTGTTGACTCACTTTCTGCTACCTTGTTTTCTGTTTTGTAATTATTCAAACTCTTGTTATTAAAAGATAGATTTTATTGTAAGTAGAAGATATGGAACTCACATATGAAGATATGGAAACAAACAGGAAGGGGAGCAGTTAGACTAACTCATATAAAATGAGATGAGAATGAGGCTCGATCTTTGTTTTTTTCTTTTACCTGCAATGTACAGACTCCATAACACACACTACCTCAAGATTTTTGTGTAATTGTTCACCTGACTTTGATTGGTTTCAGAAATGGAGAGGATTTATTCAGCTGAAGTCTGAACCTTTTTTTGGACTTATTGCACGGTCCAGTCCCATGGGCTCTGGCGTTGGTCGCCAGCGCGTGTCTTAAGGTGTCTGGGAGTGAGATTTTACTCACTGCACAGCCTCGCTGGCTTCCGTCACATTGGCGTTAAAGTTGAGAATAAAATTTCATTCTTGATTGTGAAAACTGCAGTTCACAAAGCTCACCACAAGAACCACTCAATAGTTGTTCTGGAGCTTTTGATTATGTTTCACAATTACAATTTCTCATTTAGCTGACACTTTAATCAAAAGTGATTTACAATTGCTATATATATATATATTTATGTTAAGGTCACACGTCTGTGGCCTTGGAAGGACACATTCACTGAGATTTCACTGTGGGTATTGAACCGGGGTCGCTCACATCAAAGGCATGTGTCTTATCCCCTGCACCATTGTAAACCCTAATGTAGTTTAGAGATTGAATTTGAATTTTCAATCTCCATCCAATGTGTGTTTTTTATGTGGTTGATCAGCTGACGATCTTTCTTCCTGTTCCAGGGCTGGAGAAAGTTGGCCGAGACTCCACCTACGAGCAGGAGGGGAAGGTTCAGTTTGTGATGGACGCCGTGTACGCCATGGCCCACGCTCTGCACCACATGCACCGCGAGCTCTGTGCAGGATACCCTGGCCTGTGCCCCCGCATGGCCAACATCGACGGCAAGGAACTGCTAGCCCACATCCGCGCCGTCAGCTTCAACGGTAAGAGCTGCTGCTGGCTGATTGTCAGCATCTTCATCAGAACTTCATCATTTGCCCTCATATTTGCACTGTTTTTCAACTCATGAACGTATTTCTTAAAGGAACTGTTTGGCCAAAATTTTAATGAACTTTTCCTTTCTGATTTCAGTTTTTGAATGTACAAAGCTTTAAAATTAAACACCAGTAGGGTAATAGAAATTCAGATGTTTCCGTTTGTCATTATTATATGCATTTTTAAAACCTAAAAATTGTTGGGTTTTTTAGAAAAATGCATTCTGATCCTGATTGGAAAGCCGTCCTGTAAGGCTAGTTAATGTTAACCCCAGAGTCAGTCTGCCAGTATTCACTTCCTCTCCTGTTCACTTCAACTGAATGGAAAAATTCAAGAATGTCAGGTCAGAGTTCGCCTTTATTCCACTGTGACCAAGCGATTGAAGTCGGTTGGCATTAACACATTATTCTAGCAACGTGCCATTGCCTTGTTCTGTCAGACTACAAACTGCAGCATCACTCTCGGTGTGCAGTCTGTGATCAATCTCTGATCAATATTTGTTTATTAGCCACACAGAATTGTGATGTCACATCGTTATTCTGGGCTGACTGCACGGCACTTTCATTAGATGAAACACATGCACACAAGGCAAATCAAGAATACTAATGAAACATCTTATTAATTTAGTAAAACCTTCTGAACGTCTGTCGGAAATTGTATTTATAATTCTAAGGAGAACAATTAGGTCCCCACTGATCAATCAGGTGAAGCACAGGCCAACACAGCAAAGCAGCATGACAATGTTTTACAAATTCTTGCCTCAGAATAACTGTAACGGAGATAGAGAGGATGATACTGATTCAGCCTGTGTGAGCTCTACTTCAGCTGTCAGTGCAGTCAGGAGCCAATCAGATGAGACACTCCACAAGCTGTTGGGATTTAATTTTATTTATTTGACTGATTGAAATTCTGATGTTTTCACATCACAGATAACGTGTCAGTAAAGGCACTGACACGTGAGTTTTAAAGGAAAATTTGAGACTTCACATGTAGCTGTTATAGTTAAATTTAGTTTGGGTGTTAATGTCAGCACATCTGCACCCCCTCTGCAGGTGTTCTGGGCCGTTGTCTTAAGTGGGAGGAGGCCATGAATCATATAGATTTCTCATAATTTTAGGTAAGATTTAATGATAAAAATGCATCAAACAAAAGAAAAATATCTATAGAGATTTTTAAAAAGTAAGAATCACCAAACTAAACGTGGAGCTGCTCAGTGGCCGACAGATTAGACTGTGTTTGTACCAGACAGCTTGAGTGTGATCAACACTTTCTGAAAAAGAAAATACTGTTCTCAGAAAAGACTTCCTGGGTAAATAAAGGTTTAACAGTATGAAGAAGCTGTTTCATGTTTAGTGATCAACAACCCCTCACCACACACACACACACACACACACACAATATTTGCAATTGCATCACCTACACTGGTGAAACAGAGTCAAATTAGAAGAATAATTTTGATGTTGGTAAAGCTCTACAGGCAAGTCTTTATCAATTCCGATGAAGCCATTTGGTTGGCTGTGAGTTTGAAAAATCACCGCCTCCACAGTCAACAACTCTGTGTCAAATAAGTTCTCTGAAAAAGCCATCTGACAGCGTCTCCACACTTTTCTGACAAATATTTGGTCCTGAATTTCTCCACATTTTCTTGCACAGCTGGTGATTTGAGCTGAGACACAACATTTTAATCACCTAACAACCGGGAGGCGATTGGTTGCAGTCCTGAAGTTTCTCTGATGTCTCTCAGTGATTTGAACAGTGTGACGGTGAAGCACGAGGTGGAAAACGTGACAGTGTGATGCGACGAGATGATTTGGAATAAATAAGATGATTAAAACCATTGTCAGTCATCCCAACCTTCATCAGCATCTTCGTTTTTTTGTCAGCGCAGCAGTTCTCCAGCTGCTGTTTGCCCTCCGTCTGATCATCAACCAACAGGAGGACCTAACATTCCCTCATTAACCCCACATTCCTCCTCCTCGCCACGTTCTCCATCTCCCTTTCTTTTCCGTCATCGTGGTCCGAGCTCTTCGCATGGCGGTCGACCTCCCGGCGGGTGAAGGCCTTTGTCAGCAGGAAGTGTGAATGCTGACGCTGTCATCAGGGAACCCTCCACTCATTATTAAACACCAAACATAGTCGCCTGGTTTTTATTTCCTCCTCTTTCCAGATTCATTATTCTCAGCTCAGTGGGAGCTGCGTCAGTGAGATGATCCGTCTGCTTCCACACAACTTTAATAATCACACAACTTCACACACGCAGCTGTGGAAAATTAAATTTCACACTCCTCCTCATATGTGCTGAGATGTTAATTCTACAGATCCACGATCACATGTCACAGAGAATATAAGGAGCGTATAAGGATGTGTTTTTCTACAGAGGCTATATTTTTGGGATAATGAGTGAAAGGCTGTTTTTTAAAGGATAATTCCAGCTTATGATGTCTTATTTGGGTCTCGGTGCAATAGGGCAACGTGCAATAAACATACTAGTACCTTAGCATATGCATTTTACACAAACTTCAGTTTAATGGAGCAATATGCAACAACCACACTAGCACTTTAATCCACAACAATGTCCTTTTTCTTCTGTGTTTACATTTTGTAAAGTACAACATGTCCTTGCTTCTCAGGTTCTTGTTGATGCGTTTTGTGATGTGTGATGTCTTTTGTGATGTTTTTTATTAAGCAACACTGCACTGTCCCCAAGGGGAAATTCCACTTGGGGATAATAAAATTTACTGAACCTAACCTAAACTAACCTAACCTAGTCAACATTTCTATCAGTAATAATAACGCTGTATTCAAGTTCATACCTGACACAATGGCATCACTAAAAAGAAGTCTGACATGTCACAGATTCATTTTAAATAGTTTTATATATTTGTGTGCAGGATTCAGGAGGTTTGATGTCATCGTCATATTAAAACTCAGTAGTTGGAGTTTTATGATCCTACTGCATTGGCATTGTGCATCCAGCTCTTCCTGTTCCAACTTCTGGTTGATATTACTGGCTATAGTAAATCCCAATCGGTTCACACTGCTCAATATACATTTATAATAAGAGTAACATAACCAGCTGATCCCAGAGCTGCGCAGCTGATCTTATTAGTGCTGTTATGTAAGGAGTGCACAGTGTTTGATGTACGTGGATAAACGTGTTTTATTGTCATTGTCATTTTTCACAATGGTAGAGAGGAAGTTAAAAGACAAAACAACACAGACTGACAACCTTTTGTTGTTGCTGAAACAGATATGGTCAAAATACCAGGTCTGAACCCTTAAATAGGATTTTAAAATATGTGTAAAAATAACACCCTTGTTCAAATTATTTATTATTAGGAGCTCCAATAAAAAAGGCAGTCAATGGCCTCCTGCCCATTTGAGATGAACCTTTTCTCTCTTTCAGGATTTTGCAAAAGAACCCAAATTCAAGGCTCCAGGCAAAATCCAAAGAAAAAAAACAGAACCAATAATAAACTGGAATGTTATGGGGAACACAGGCAGGAATGAAGAGGCGTCATCTCTGTACTACGAGGTAACTTCCCGAGTAACCCGTAGTACGAAAGGTGTATAGGTGTTAACAGAGGTCTGTTGCCATGGCAATTTACACTGCATCTTTAAACTGCTCTGAGCAGGTTATGTTGGTGGTTAACTCGAGGTTACCCTGTATATGTGGACTACACACCACATCTGTAGTCAGTGTCAATGATGAGAAGTTGGATATTAATACACACCACGGGATTAAATATGTTTAGATTTCATCCTGATTTGTTCCACTGCGGTTGCAGCTGAAATGACGTTATTCTTAACACAGCAGCATTACGTTCACACGGCGAGCCCTGCAGCCTCTGTGATTTTAGGGAGGAGATCTTAATTAGGCTAAATAACAGGACGATTTCTGAGATGTAGCCCATCCGTAGGCTTTACACTGAATTATCCTAACTGTCTTCACATAGGCTATTTAGATGGACATATTTACGTGTCCAAAAAGTACAGAGCCAAGGTAGGGGTTAATAAACCGAGAAAAAGATTCCAAGGTGAAAATCCAAGGTGTAAATTTACAAGAACAAAAATCACAAAAAACGTCCAAGTCAATCTGGTGTTTTCTTCTGAATAGCCTACACCCAATTCACTAAGGTCTCTAAGTCTCTAAGGTGCATGATAATATAGTGATTGTGGGCAAAACTGACTATATTTCCTCACTGCTAAATCCGATTGTGAAGACTAATATAAGTATCCACTGCATGCATAATACACGGCAGTGGTGTGTGTGTGTGTGTGTGTGTGTGTGTGATGTTGCAGCCTTGCAAAGGGAAGCGATATGGTTCCTTGAAAAAAACCAACACTTTTTTTCAGAGAGTTTCTCTCATAAATGTATCAATACAATGTCAGAGAATATATTCAAGTTTTTAACTTGTAGATTTGTGATCATTAGTTTATCGTAAATCTATCACATTAATCTTGGAAATTCTTTCCCCTCCTCCCCTGGCTCCAATTCTTTTATTATAATAGACATAATGTGCAGTTGTACCTTTACATCTTAATGATATTATGATATAGTTATAATGATATATGTATAAAAGAACAGCCCATATAATACATTATAGAGAATTAGCCTACAATATGAATGTGAAGATAATTACAAATTTACTCAGTGCTGTGCCAACAAGCCTCCCTGGCTTTGTCGGCAGCCACGATCTTTAAACTCGTCATATCCTGACACAATCAACGTGTATTCTTATGGAGAAAATACGGAGCATGCGCCGTTGTGAAAAAACTCACCCACAACTCCAATTAAGTTAACACAGACTCAACTAGCCAATATCTTATTCACCTTCGTAGTACCGTTTAACTGCAGTGTAGGCAGTCAGAGTTTGTAAACCCTGATTTTGCTTAATAACCCTGAGTTAACTCTGATTGGGTAACACTTCTGACACACCCAGGAAAC